TGTGCTGCACTAACCGAGGGTCAGTGATGATTGAGTGCTTAACTGTTGCAGAGCCAGTACTGAGGGAATCCTGCATTGTTACAGTGTCATCATTGAGGGAGTGCTGCACTGTTGAAGGGCCGATATTAAGGGAGTGTGACACTGTCAGAGTGTCATTATAAAAGGTGTGCTACAGTATCAAAGGGTGAGTAATGAGGGAGTGCTGCACTGTCAGAGGGTCAGCACTGAGGTGGACTGTACTGTCAGATAGTCAATATTAATGGAGTGCTTCACTTTCAGGGGTTTGATATTAGGGGAGTGCTGCACTGTGAGTTGGTCAATATTAAGGGAACGCTGAAACTGTCAGTGGGTTGATGCTAAGGGTGTGCAACACTGTCGGAGGGAGTGATGTACTATCAGGGTGTCATCGCTGAGGGAGTTCCACACTGACAGAGGGGTAATATTAAGGGTGTACTGCAGTGTCACTATTGATGGAGTGCTGCACTGGGGGTCAGTATTGAGGGAATGCTCCATTGTTGGAGGATCAGTACTGAGGGAGTGCTGGACTGTCACAGGGCCAATATTAAGAGCGTGCTGTGCTGTCAGAAGGTCAATATTAAAGGAGCACTGCACTATCAGAGGGACCGCACTGAGGGAGTGCAGCTGCTGCGAAGATCACTACAAAGGATATGGCATACTGTGAGAGGTCAATTTTGTGGGGATTGATGAACTGAGGTTCTGTACTGTGAGACGGTTGCAGTGTCACAGGGTCAGCATTAAGGAAGTGGTGCACGAACAAACAAGCACTACCAGAAAACTGACGTTCTGATTATGAGGCACTCCCTCAGTACTGACCCTCCAACAGTGCGTACTCTCTGATGACTGACTCTCTGACAGTGCATCTCTGCCACAGTATTAACCCTCCGACATACTGGTATTCTCTCAGCAATAACACTCTGAGAATGCCATGCTCCCTTACTATTGACACTCTGACCATGGAACACCCCTTCAAATTTAACCCTTCAGCAGTGCAGCATACACTCATCATTGCCTCTCTGATATTGCAGTGCTGCCTTCATATTGACCCTTTCACAGTGCAGGACACACTAATATTGAACATCTAAAAGTACAGCTCTCCCTCAGTGCTGACCCCCATCCGTGCAGCACCACCTCAATTCTGACCCACTCAGTGTAGCACACCCTTAATTCTGAACTCCTCAGTGCAGCACTCCCTGAATGCTGTCCCCGCTCAGTGCAGCAGCCCCACAGTACTGACCCCGTCAGTGCTGGCCGCCCTCAGTGCAGCACTCCCTCAGTGCTGACCCGCTTCAGTGCTGACCCGCTTCAGTCCTGACCCCGCCTCATAGCAGCACTCCCTCAGTGCTGACCCCCCTCTGTACAGCACTCCCTTCAGTGCTGACCTCCCTTCAGTACTGACGCTTGCCCTCAGTGCAGCACTCCCTTGGTACTGAACCCCTCTCAGTGGAGCACTCCCTCAGTGCTAACCGCCCTTCCGTGCTGGCCGCCCACATTGCAGCACTCACTCAGTGCTGACCCCGGTCTGTGCAGCACTCCCTGTGCTGACACCCACCCTCAGAGCAGCACTCCGTTGTTGCTGACCCCCTACAGTGCAGCAGCCCCTCAGTGTTGATCCACATCAGTGCAGCACCCGCTCAGTGCTTGGCGCCCCCCTCAGTGCAGCACTCCCTCAGTGCTAACCCCCTTCAGTGCAGCACTCCCTCAGTGCTCACCCCCCTTCAGTGCAGCGCTCCCTTCAGTGCAGCGCTCCCTTCAGTGCAGCGCTCCCTTCAGTGCAGCGCTCCCACAGTACTGACCCAGTCAGTACTGACCTCCCTCCAATGCCGACACACCCTCGGTGCCGACACACCCTCGGTGCCGACACACCC